GATTGTCAAATTTAAATGTCTGCTTTCTAAAGCATTTTACCAACTTAGTATTCTTGGCTACCTACAGCATATATACATACATCGTACTAGGATGGGTTTGTGTTACAAATAATGTCATTTTAAGTAAAAGACATAGGTGATCAATAACACACAGAGACACTGTGAAGGTTTCTGAATCAAACATATCCATCACCAGATCCAATAGCTGTGCCTCATATGAAGTGAATTCTCAAAAATGTTTGTTGAATGAATACATGGGCAGATGGCATTTATTCTGTTATTTGCTCCTGAAACGAACTTTCCGATGCTTTCTATTTCTAGTAGGAATATAATTTTAAACTTCAACAATTTGTTCTTAATCAGCTACATCTCAATGACAAGGGCAGGTCAACAGATTTCAGATTGAATAGCAAACTAGTGTCAGTGATCAAAAGACATTCTGCCAGGTACACTGACTACAGTTAGATAGCTCTGATGTCTACAGAACAGACATTCGTTCAAGACATTGAACAACTCCATTTTCCATCTTCGTACAAAACAAGACATAAGAATCTAAATAATTTTTATAATGTATTATCACAAAAAACAAAAAGTAGTCAATAAAATAATATATATAGACATATACATACACAAATATATCTCATTTAGTAGACTTAGTAGATTGCCATCTCTCTTCCCAGTGAGAGAAGCAAGCTATCCTGAGTGAAGCAGGCCTTGTGTCTAGGTCACCACTGCTAGACGATGCACAGACCATACTTTCCCAGTCTTCCATGCACGTCCAGTGGATGCTTGGGGATATAAATGCTGAGACCATTGTTAATGGCAAAGCTTTGAGGCAGTGAAATTTTTCTGAAACCAAAGACTAACTATAATAACCATCATGGACTGCAGCACCTAGGAAGACAGTGGCCGATATTTGTGAAAGGTATAGCCTGGGACCATTCTCAGCATAGGCCCCTCTTGTAACTTTCCCCACCTGTTCTGCTTCATGCAGGGTGAAGCTTTGCTGAATCTCATCACAAAAACTTTGAACACTTGATAGAGGAAAGAATATTTTTCTTAATCAAAATTCAGATCATCTTAAATCATTTCCAAAGCTTTTGCCCTAGTACTTAAGTAGGACAACTGACAATTCATTCAGCAAATTGGTTCATACATACACATGTTAATGAAATTACTACTGGCTATGAGAGCATTACTAAACTATACTTTAGTAAGATAGTTCACATAACAATAAGTCTTTAAAAATTAAACACAGTTTCCAAAAATTAAGAAGCAATTTAGTCAAACACTAAAGGTTAATTTTAATACCACTGGTGCAGAAAGTCTAAAAATGACCTTTAAAGTAAAATGTAAAGTAAAATAAAAATTAAAGTAAGGCTATCCTTTTTAAAATTTCAATATTATGGCTTTTCAAAAATATAGGTGAATAAAAATATACCCACTACTTTGCATTAAATCATTTTACATAGGAAAAGATCTACTTGAACTAATAAAAGAATATTTTAGCATTTTACATACAAATGTATTAGTTTCAAATATCTAAGAGCAATTTACTTTCAACTGAATGCTTCTGAATCAATCAATAATAATTTTGTCTATAAAATGTATAGGCCTGAAGGATTGAAAACTATTTTCTTAAATTAATTAATATGTCCTTTAGGATTTTTGTTTACCCTTTCATTTTCCCGGCTTTCACAGTTAGTGTCAAGGCCAACTTCATTTCATTCTGAATTTAGTGATCTCAAAATTTAAATTAATAGAGTCAGAACCAATGTCATTTCATGTCATATATATTATAGTATCATAAGAAATTAACCTAATTTTAAGTTGAACATTGTTGCTGCAAGAAGAATGGCCAAGAAATGTACAGGCAATCTAAGCCACCCGAAGAATGTGCTTTGAAGAGACAGAAAATAGTACGAGATTGGGAAATTGGTTTATGAAATAAAGCTTGCACTACAAATTCAACACTACATATCCAATATAAGTAAAACTAGTACAGAAATTCTTCTACTTCTTCTTCTTCTTCTTCTTTTTTTGAGATAGAGTCTTGCTCTGTTGCTCAGGCTAGAGTGCAGTGGTGTCATCACAGTTCACTGCAACCTCAAACTCCTGGGCTGAGGCGATCCTCCTGCCTCAGCCTCCCAGGTGGCTGAGACTACAGGCACACGCCACCACGCTCATCTAATTCTTTTATTTTTAGTAGAGACAGGGTCTTGCTCTTGCTCAGGCTGCTCTCGAACCCCTGAGCTCAAGCAATCCACCCGCCTCGGCCTCCCAAAGTGCTGGGATTACAGGCGTGAGCCACCGCGCCCAGCCCAGAAATGCTCTCTCTCTCTTTTCACTTCTCTTTCTTTAAATAGTAATGAAAATAGATGTAAAATCCCAGTCTTTTCTCAAATTCCTCATACTTTTCATATTATTTTAAATTTTGTAATATTAGAAATATTAGAAATATTTATAAGGCTAGATGGAATGCTTAAGATGTATTGACTATGAATTTCTAGTCAAAAGTTATTTTTGAGTCAAGTCCCACGTTAAGATCCAAAATGTCATGCAAGACCTTCCCTTTTAGGTGAAGAGGGCCAGTTGTCCAAAGTCAGAACTTGGAAGAACAGGTAGGAGGCTTTAGCGACATTTGAAGGTGCACTGGTTATAGGGAAGCATGGACCATTTAGGTAAACAGATTCTAAAAACTCAAGGCCAATTGAATGTCCAATGTCACAAGGAGGTACATTATGGTATTGAAAAAATCATTGTTATTCATCCATACATTAGGTATTTTTTTACTGTTACTACTGTTTTGGAATTATAATCAAGTTTTATATAATGTATTATCTAAAACTGTTACCTTCAATTACGAGCATTGCAACAGTGTTGGGTTACCTCAAAATGTGCATCCAGAATGGTAAAATGTCTAGGAAATCATATGATTTTCATATACTAAAAGCATTTTACATATTTCCGTTCACTTTTGTTTTCAGCATAAGATGTATAATTTAATGGCACCACGTGCCACAGAACTCCAACTTAGAGCTAATTGGTAATATTACAACAGTTCTATGTTAATAAAGGAAAGCAGCATAATATATTAAGAAGGCAGACTTCCTGGCTTCAAATTTTGGTTCTTGTCAATCATGTGACTTTGTGCAAATCACTGGGCCATTCTTTGCTTTGGTTCCTCAACTTTAAAATGGGGGTGATAAAAAGAGTTCCAGGTCACATCACTGTTACGAGGATTAAGTGAAACAATAACAACAAAATCCAGACAAAGCAACTGGAGGTATTACTGGGCACATAGCAGTCACTAAGTGTTAGCTGCAATTTTTACTACAATCAGAAATTACATTGACTGATGTTAATATAAAGCGTTACTAACTTTTGAGCATTTAGTAAGCACCAAGCACTCTGACAGATGATATACTTATGTTTAACCCTAAAAACAGTATTAAGCACATTCTGTTATATGGAGAGTACATCCTTAAGAATATGTTAATTTATAAATACCACCAATAGCTGACAGTTTGCCCTGTGAAATATGGCAAAGTACAACTGAATTGTTTCAGCGAACCCTTCATGCCTCTAATGAGGATTCCTGCTCCCAGGATGGTGGTTAGAAAATAGTAATGACGATAGGAAAAGTACTAGTTAATCAGTGGCGTTCACTCATCAGCCCTACATTGAAAGTGATCAAATTTTCCGCACAGGAAAATCACAAATCACACAGTCTGTCAGTATCACTTGCTGAGACCCTGCAAGTTAAGGATATACTTAATACAGATATTTACGTAAAGGTCGTATCTTCATTAAATTTGGATGCCCAACTTTTTCTTTGAAAGCTCTAATGTTGGTTTCCTTATTTTTCATTATGCATATGGACTTATTACAAAAGCCTCAAGTGCTTCTGTGCCAAATAGCAATTATCATTACCTTAACTGGTAGTATACAAACGTCACATACCTATGTGACAAAGTATTTTTGTTATTCAATACACAACTGCTAATGATGGAGGTTCTTAATGATAGTTTGAAAGCTATTATCAAATTTCATAAATTAAGATTTAATAATGGTTTACATATACTTTAGTTATGAAAAGCATTTTACATACTAGTCTAAATCCATATAATTATCACAATCATAATAAGAGTGTTTGTTTTGAAAATCATGGATTTAACATCAATATTACTGTACTCGCTATACTAAAAACAATATTATTGTATCAATGTAGAAATGATAAACATCACGTATACTTTAGAATGAGGACAGACTACACCTGTGCTTCCATAAAATTATTAAGGTCCCTAGTAGTCCTTTTAAAGTACAAATAAAGCTTTACTTTCATATGTTATACATATACCTTGATAGAAAATTCTCATGCTAACATATTCTTTTAAGAATCTGACATCTCAAATCACAGCCTTCATAAAATTAAGAGTTTTAGTTATCTAAGTTAAAAGTTGAGTTTTTAAATAGGTTTATTTTTCTCCTCTTTACCCTGGTTCCCCTCTCTGCTTCTCCTTGGTCCCTAGGGCCACCAATGGCACAGCACCCAGCAGGCATGGCCCAAGGGAGCCACACTCATCGCAGAGACCACGGACAGCATCGGCTGGCTGGCACTGTTCACGAGCATAAAGGACACCCAAAAGCAGCTGGAAGGAAATTTTGTAGAGACCTCAGTCAGCTCTCTTCTCTACTGAGGGAGGAAATAAGCCCTTAAGAGAAAGAGTAAAGCACACTTTTCCACCTGTCACACATAAATGACTTTCTCGGATGCAAGTGGGGGGTTGAAAACCTACGCCCCCCAGACACCATTGTCCTGAACATCTTTTCAGGATGCTTTGCAAAGTGTGGCCACTTCTTCGAGTGGAACTCTCTATCATTACGTGTGTCCATTTGGGGAAGATGAAAATAAACACAATGAAATAATTTTCATGAATGAGAGAGGAGGCACAATGGTTAATTTTTTAATCTTTGATTTTTTTCTGTAAGTTCCAGGGATGGATTTTGCCCTAAAGATGAATATTTACTACAGATACATAGAGAGATCAGTTTGTGAAGCTGAATTGTCTGAATGAACTCCTATCCATTTCCAGCATAAATATCCAAGTACAAGCTGAACACTAGCTATTTACACCAGGTGAAAGATTTACAGAAAAAAGTAAATTTCTTAATCTTCTGGGGGGAATGTTTAACCGGCATGTAGTTTGTCTCGTCCAGCACCGAGAAGCTTCTGCCTGCCTGGTCCTTGGGAATTCTTTTCATTCTTCTCCGGCCGGGGGAGGCGGCTCACACAGCTTGTACAGCCTAGAAAAGGATGGGAAAGTCTGACAGTGGCCCGGTGTGTCACCGTTACTTGAGATGTCTTTATTGGTAGAACAAATATATTGACAATAATCTCTTGGTCCGTGAGTCATGATCACGTTGTCTATTTCACTAAAAATAGCATAGGAATTAGCAAACTCCAAAATTTCCATTCTGTGATCTAGAAAACCACCAATGCCTCTTTGCACATCTCTCAATGGCTACTGATTAAGCAACACTGCGCTTTTTAAACCTGCTGCCTCTGCTCCAGCGCAGCCAGCACAGGCCGTTCACTGAGCTGACAGTAAAAGCTGTTCCCCAAATTCCAAAAAGTGATATTACCATCATATCTATCGTGATGACCTTGTAGCAAGATAGCACCTATCTCATAGAGGTCTACTGCTTTTCCGACTAGTTGTAGAAATGTACTTCACTTTGTACTGTCAGCGTGGTGCAGGCAGTTGGCTGTGACTAGACAGGTTGATGTGGCAGATTCCTGAGGCCTGAATCTCAGGCAAAATTAACTGGTGTTTCCTAAGGACTAACTGCTCAGCCCCATTCACCTGTCCGTGGATCTCCAAGTGGGTCAAGGAGTCCACATGAACCATGGAGATGCTTGGGCACGCGCCCCCTTTGCAGCTTAGGGCAAAGAGATCATACGGCATTAATGCAAAGCTCAAGGGACTTAACTAGGGTTATACAGTTTCTAGTGTTTCACATTCTCCTGAGTGGTTAAATGCTAACTCCAGAATGGAAGTAAAAGAGAATACAACAGCAGCCAGACAGACAGAACTAGTGACCTCAAGGCCATGTGCTTCACTTACAGAGGATCCTGAAAGGAGAATGATCAGCTGACCTAAAGGGGCTGGATTGGACTGAGCCTGTTCTCAACAGTGTCCATGGCCATGTTGGTCCCATTGCAGAGCTCAGATTAATGGCCTCAGAATATAAGGAGCAGATGTCAACTCTGCACCTTTTTAAATGCACTACAAACCCAGGGCTAGCTGCAGTGATTCAGTCCCTGCTGCAGATTAAACTGAATTCAGCTTAAATGAATTGTTGACCAATTTAGCCAATAAGAAATTTCCTCTCCCTTTGACATTTAATCCCATGCTAATTCTGAAACAAAAGAGAAGAATGAGCAAGATGTAATATTGAGTTATAAATTCCAGTTAACAAAATGAGCTTTCCTAGTATGGAAACCCATAGAAGTTATTGCCGTTGGAAGTTTGCAAGATGCATTTCAAGTCTGGAATGTGGTTTATGCTTTGTGTTATCTCCATGGAAGAGGCGAATACTGAAATAGAGACATCTCACTCAGAAAAGCCTATTTCATCCTTCCTGGAGAAAAGAATACATTAAATTGACCCGATGTACTTCAAAGGTTCTTTTGCAGCTGAAAAATGTGGTGTTGCTTCAAATTGCATTCCCAGGGCTGGGATAATAAAATGATCAGAAGTTTCTTTTTCTCCTTAATTTCTTTCCTCTTATTTTTCTGCCTAATGAGTGAAAAGGCACAGTGGCCTTACATAGAACAGAAATAGGAAGATGGTGGAAGAAATAGGAAGAAATAGGAAGATAGTCCTGCTTGCCCTGTGAGATCTGGGCTGAACCATTGCATTCTATTACCTTGCTGTGCACATTTCCACGTAATGTAACTATAATAATAGCACTGGGTAGATGAGTCTTTGAAATGTCTGCCTTGCAAATTGGAGACGAGGCTACGCCCTGTGACCACCTAATGAAATAATAGCTCTGGGTACTGTGGAGCTGGGCAGATGCAGCTTCTGTGAGGCTTCTTGGAAGTGACTCAGGGTTATTTGAGTTCAGACACATTTGTAATGGAAATTACAGAGCTTTGGGAATTTAGAAGAGGCAGATGAAGTTTGGAAGTGAAATGTAATAGGTAAGAGTTGGACTCATTCTGCACTGAGGCATTTGGTTTTTGGCAGCTAAGTTGCTGGGAAGTGTGAGGCCTTGGTCTGCCTGACTTCTGGGGCGCTGCTGTATTCTCAGTCCACTCCTGCACACCCGCGGCCCTGCACAAGAAAGGCTTGTACTTGGCTTCACTTTCTCCTATTCCTGTCTGGGCTCAGGTAGTCATCTTGGAGCTGGTATTTCCAGCCCATATCCAAATCTGCCAAGAGCAGAACTTTCAAACTTCGTTCCACAGATCATGCCCTTCATCTCTCTATATAGCAAAAATAAAAGCTGTGTTAAAGACAACCACAAAGCAAATGCCCCTTTCAAGGTTCAAGTATCAATAATGCTCTGTCCCAAGGCAATTCTTCTCATCTCACAAATAAGAAAACTGAGTCTCAGAGAGGAAATATAACCTAAGTAAGGTCCCATAGAAGCAGGAGCTGGGCCTCAAAACCACTTTTTTTTTTTCACTTTTAACCACTATGGTATGCTACCTTCCAATTAAACAAATAAAGAAAATAAAGCTTTCACAGCACAATAGTTCCAAATTTTGTGACATAATAGAAAATAAGGCCAGTGTGCCACAACTGGTCATCCGACATTTGGAATGTAATATTTGACCCTTTTTTTTTTTTGTTTGAGATAGAGTCTTGCTCTGTTGCCCAGGCTAGAGTGCCGTGGCGTCAGCCTAGCTCACAGCAACCTCAAACTCCTAGGCTCAAGCGATCCTCCTGCCTCAGCCTCCTGAATAGCTGGGACTACAGGCACGCGCCAGCCACCATGCCTGGCTAATTTTTATATATATATATTTTTAGTTGTCCAGACCATTTCTTTCTATTTTTTAGTAGAGACAGGGGTCTCGCTCTTGCTCAGGCTGGTCTCGAACTCCTGACCTTGAGCGATCCACTCACCTCGGCCTCCCAGAGTGCTAGGTTGACTCTTGAAGAAGACAGGCTTACTGCTCTGCAGAGCCAATGTGCGGAAGTTAGAGGGGGAAAGAACGTCCTTTGCACGCCGACCTCACAAGTGTTTTATCACAATACACATTCACTTCTCCAAATTAATTTTGTCTTTCTACTCTATTGGGCTGCAAGCTCCTTGGGTGCATGAAGTGTTTCTCATCCATCTTGAGATCCCAATGCCAAAAGCAGTTCCTGACACATCTTTCAGACACAAATTGCTGAATGGGAGTGTGCAAAATGCGCTGGAGCCAAGGATGTCAGGGAACATCCTTCCCAAAAGCAGGCTTGACCCTGTCACTACCCAGAACTGATCTAGCTCAGAATTACTAAACTCCAATACCCTGCTCCCCAGCCTTCTGATCCCATTACGTTATTGTATTTACTCTTTCTGTAGGGTGATGATGGCCAAGTCCTCTTTCTGAAACTCCAGAACAGCCATCTTCTGCCGGCTTGTCTTAGACGGTGCAGCCCTGTTCCTTTGCTTTCCCTTCAGGGTGACCTTCCCCTGGGGTGAGCCTGGCCTCCTCTCATCTCTCTGACCCACTCACCTTAGTAAGAAAATTCTAGGTCTTCCCTTGCCTCTTAAATATGGACACCTCCTAGGACTGTAGCTCCACCAGTCCTTCTTGGCTCAGCTTCAGACCAGTACCTTCACCTACCCACGGAGGCATCTCCATGCACATGTCCCACGGGTCCTCAGTCACAATATTGCCAAGTCGGGCTCTCCAACTTTCCCCTCTGCATGCACTTGCCTCTCTGCGTCCTCTGTCTCAGTGGCAAGAACCATTAGCCCCTTGTCATCCAAGCCAAAGATCTGGTGGTCACCCTAGAATCTCCCTTTCCCTAACCTCCTTCAACCAATTAGTGTCCAAAGACTTAATTCTGTCTTCTAAACAGCTGTCCAATCCATCGTCTCATCTTGGTCCTCAGCACTACCACAGTCTCCTTGCAAGCTCCTGTTTCTGGTCTTGGCTGGCCTCAAATGGACCCTCCTCATGTTGCTAGAGAAAAATTCTAAGTTTTTTCTGATCTGGCCCTCGCCTGCATCTCCAGCTTCCCTTTGTATCATTGTTAAGTCACATTCAGCCATCAGTCATGGAGCTCTAGGGATGGTTCCCAGAATGTCCTGTGTTCTCTGGGCCTTGGTGCTATTGCATCTGCGTGTGGGACATCCATTACCACGCAGATGAGTCAGGAGTGTGCTGTAGCCTCCTCTGCCCATCCTTGGGCTGTACACGCTCCTTCTCTGTGTTCTCCTGACTGTCTATGCCTATTTCTATCACGGTTCTTATCACACACCGTATACTATCTGCATTTGATTCAATTGTTGCTCTACTACACCTCAGTGACTGCTGCAGGGACTATGTCTTTGCCCTCAGCTTTTAACAAGGGGCCTGCCATCTACAGACACATAGCAGAAATTCAATCTATGTTTGCCGAGTGAATTTTGAAAAACAAAGAAAGTGGAGGGTGAAAGGAAAACTACAGTAGAGATGGGTTGGGGATTTGAACCAAATATTATCTCAAGCAGAGACAGCAAACTTTACCTCCATGAAGATGTTTCCAGAAACATCACCCCCAACTTTGCCCAGCAATGGTCTAGCCTTCAGAGCCAAATGTGTTCTTCAACTCACTGCCTTTGGGACAGGAGTTGGGTTCCCAGTGGGAAGGATCTCAGCCCCTCTGTGCTCCTCAGCGTGCTCTCTGCACCTCCCAGAGTGCTTCTCACATTCCACCTTTTCTTGCAATTATGCTTTCCTCACCTTCATCTCTTTAACTGGAAGCTCCTTGAGGGCCAGAGCTATTTCTATCTCAGGTTTATATTCTCCACGGGGCATAGCGGTGTGCTTTGCATTTCTCCGGTCCTCAGTGAATACGTGTAGAATGAATTAAGGAATAAATAAAATAAACCTAAAAAAATTACTCTTGATTTTTCTCTCAGGGCTATTACACCCTTGTAAAATATGTCAACTTTATAGCTGGCTCATTTTATTGTGTTTCATTTCAAGTGTTTTCAACATAACCCAATAAAGAAAAAAAAAGCGAGTTCATCAGTTTCTCTTCCTGTGTTCAGCCTGCATATCAGTTTATCGATCGGGGTGCTCAAGTCTTCTCCCAACCCCACTGTTTATTAGTGTTCATAAGCTCTAGCCAAGAACACCTTGCTGGGCCATTATCTTGTTTTCTTATTGGGATTTTAACACTTTGGTAGGTCTGTTATCCAAATATACCAGGTCTCTCAAGGTACTGGAGAGAGAATACTTACGTAAAAGGATTCTTTAGCAATAGAAAGTCTTAGATTCTAATCTAATCAACTATGAAAGATAACGTTAGCAAAACTTGAGGATTAAATAGAGTCAGGAGTCAGCACTAAAAATAAATGCAACTAGAACATGAGTGCTCCATCCATTTTCAGGGGGAAAATATGTTTTCCCTTTTGAAAGCACTTTCACTGCCCACATAATTTTTCAGAATGAAATATAACTTCATAAATACCACAGCCATCATTCTCACTCTGGTAACTGCTATGTAAATAGAAACATATAGTGTTTGTCTGTTACAGTGTTTCTGGAGGCACCTACTTTTTGTTAAAATGCAAATGTACAAAAGCAATCAAATGTAAAAGAAATTATTTAGCTTTGCCCCACTTCAAGATACATGGTTGCCTCCCCTAATTACCAGAAAAATCAAACTGAAAACATTTCTCTGATGGTTGTTAACTATGTTCATTTATTTTAAAGGTAGACTGGAGCCCTTCCTATAATAGTTGAACTGTGAATATTTCGCATAACAAACACAGATCTCATTCATTTATTTACTCATTCACACATTCTTGAAATTAGTTCAAATATTTGATGTTTACTATGTAGGCACTATGAGGAGCAATGAATAAAATTTAAAAAAAAATATTTTCTGGCTCCAGAGGACTCATATTCAGGTTGGGCAATGAAACGTGTAACAATATACTGCAACACAATATGATAAAAGCTACATATCAAAATACAAGCTGGTAAGGAAGTACAAAGAGGAAGAAACTCAAGCAAGATTCCAAGGAGAAAATGGCATCTGCACTGGGTTTTGCAGTTAAGTAGGAATTTTCCACACAGACACAGACGGGAAAGGCAACCATGCCAGAGGGAACAACATGTGCAATCGCAGAAGTATAAATGGAAATGGCATTTGGGTAGTTTGGCACAGCTGGATTACACATTTCGGTTACACCTGTGTGGACTTTTGTTTTTGAATTCATGATGGAACTCGTGAAATGGTATAGTATCCACCTATTTCTGAGAGCATTTATGACTAATCACATTTAGCCATTGAGTGTTTCAAGGGCAATCTCCACCCTAACAATCAGGAGGACACTTGGCATCTCCCAGAGCAGCTGCATTAGCTGTGAGGGACACTGCCTGGGAAACGCCGGCAAGTCCTCTGGGGAAGGGCAGAGCAGGGGATGCGCTTACCTTGGGGCAGACTGTGGGGTCCGGTCTCTGACTCCCAAGTTCTTTGCTGTGTTCTGAACTCTCGCTCCCTGAAAGTCAGGAAAATCACTCTTACCTCTACATTGTATTAGTAATAATTTAGCATATAATTAACATCTGAATGTGGCACAGTTGTGCCAGCAATGTTATTTATTTATTTTTATTTTTTTGAGACAGAGTCTGGCTCTGTTGCCCTGCTAGAGTAAGTGCCATGGCGTCAGCCTAGCTCACAGCAATCTCAAACTCCTGGGCTCAAGGGATCCTACTGCCTCAGCCTCCAGAGTAGCTGGGACTACAGGCATGCGCCACCATGCCCGGCTAATTTTTTCTATATATTTTTAGTTATCCAGCTAATTTCTTTCTATTTTTTTTAGTAGAGATGGGGTTTTGCTCTTGCTCAGGATGGTCTCGAACTCCTGAGCTCAAACAATCCGCCCGCCTCGGCCTCCCAGAGAGCTAGGATTACAGGCGTGAGCCACCGCACCCCGCCCCAGCAATGTTATTTAACATCAAAAGAGACTGGATGCAGAAGATGGAAATTACCATCTGAGCATTTTCAAAATTAACATTTTTAAGAATCAAAATGAGCTGTTATGCTGTTTCAAAAGATTAATATTTATTTCTGTAGCCATCTAAATCATTCAACAGAAGTTTAAACAACAGCTTCCTGTTCACCATCTCATCTATGTCTTTATTCCTAGAAGCAATCAATACCTGAGATGTTGAAAATAGAAAACAAGCAGGCTAAAAATACCTCCCCTGTGTTGCCACTTTCCTGGAACGGAAATCACAGCCCTGTCAGACTCATGCACCTGTTTGTTCCTTATCCGAATAGCTAGCTATTAGTAGTAGCAAGAAAATATTTTCATAAATAGTTCTAAAGCAGTTTCTGGGCAAGGCATGTCCGTGTGAGTCACTGAAATCTCAGAGTTTATAATACAGATGATCTACTTTAGCAAGGAAAGTAGTCTTTTTGCATTCTGTCAAGTTCATGAATGAAGCTGTTCAGTTCCTCGTGGAAAAAAATTACTTACTACACAGAACCGAAAACCAGGGGTTTGGCTGGCAATAGGTTAAGGCAGAGCTGTTAAAAAAAAACTCTCATACTTTCTCTCCAGCTACTAAATTCTGAACTAAGGAAAAGGAAGAGTCTTTTAGAGTGGAGGAGGGAAAAAAATAAATAAATAAATAAATAAATAAATAAAAAAGGAAAAAGGAAGAGAGAAAAGGAGAAAAGAAGGAAAAAACAACATAAAATATATTCTCTCAAAATGTTAAGGAGTTAAAAAGGCGTTTTATTTGGGCTGGTCTGAAGGTAGTGAGTCCTCTCAGTTGTTTGCCCACGGTCAGTTACAGATCCAACTCCTTGTCCCACTTCTCCTCCCTTCTCACTACCGCACTTGACCAGTCCTTAAAAAATAACTCTATTTTGAAGTGATTTTAGACATAGGGAAAAGTTGTAAAAACAGAACAGACACTTCACATTCCCCACCTGGCTTCCCCTAATGTTAACCCTTCACTAAACCACGGTATGATTATCAACACCAGGAATTCACATCAGTGCAACACTATTAACTAAACTGCATATCTTATTCAAAGGTCACCCCTAGCTTTTAACAAGGGGCCTGCCATCTACAGACACACAATCCCTAAGGACTAATGCCCCTTTCCTGTTCCGAGATCCACTCCAGGGTCCCATCTTGCATTTTTTTGTCATGTCTCCTTAGTCTCCTCCCATCTGCAACAGTTCCTTAGCCCCTCCGTGCCTTCTATGACCTTGGCACTTTCGATAAGTACTGGCCATTATTCTGCAGAATGTCTCAATTTGGGTTGGTCTGATGTTTCCTCATGATTAGATAGAGGAAGTGCATTTTTGGCAAGAAAATCAGAGAAGGGATGTTCTTCCCTTCTCAGGGCATCATTATCAGGGATACATGATGTCAATATGTCTTATCACTGGTGACATTAGCTTTGATCACTTGGTTAAAGTGATGTCTACCAGATTTTTTCCACTGTAAATTTATCACCTTCTTTTTCTTTTTGTAGTATATAAATATGCTTGGGAATATACTGTGAGACTATACAAATATCCTGTTTCTCTTCAAACTTTTGCTTACCGATGTTAGCCTCCATTGGTTTATGTTGTCTGCAAAAATAATACTGTAGTGTCTATGAACTGGATTTCTTTTATAAAGAAGAATTATCCCTTCTCCCCAAATTATTATTTATTCAATTATATATTTAAATCAACATAGGCTCATAGATATTTATTTTAGTCTATCAGATATAATCCATTATGATTATTATTATTTTGCTCAATTTATTCCAGTTTTGGCCACTGGGAGCTCTTTCTTGTTGCTTTTTGTGCCTTTTTAACATGCCCCCATCATTTTTTAGTACTTCTTTACTTTCTGGCACTTCAAGATGTTCCGGGCTCATCTTCTCTGTCTCGGCTGTTAATTCACCACTTCTCCAAGGGGCCCTGGGTCTTTTCAGTGGAGAATGGTGTTTAGAAGCCAAGATTCGGACACTGGGTGTGCTCATTACTGGTGGGGAATAAACTCTTCTAGGCCTTTCCAGTAGATGGGGCTAGTTTACTAATATGAACACAGTCACGTGTCTATATTCATTTGTGCATCCATCCATCTCTGTATATATGTGCCTGCATTCATCAGTTCACACTGACACCTCTGATTCCAATCCAGTAGAACAGGGTTTATTCCAGATTTTAGCTTTCTCCCTTTCCTTATTTATAACTTTTTCCTCAGACAGTGAGGAATCTGCTTCTCATTGTTTACAATATCTTTACTTATTTGCTCAATTCTGGTATGCACATAAATTAGTTTAGGATTTCTAAATCATATCTTTGTGAAAAATAGATTTACTAACTGGAGTGCAGTATTTGTGTACAATTCTTTTTGTCTATAGTTTCATAATATTCCATTAAGTAAGTCTATTAAGAAAGAGTTTTGCTTTCTTAAAGGGTTTCAAATAAAACTGATGCTTGCTATGTTGAACACATCAATTGGCATATTCCACTTTGAAGTCAACTATATAATCCTTCCTCTAGGCAATATGCCAGCTACTTGCATTTTTACACTCTTGCACATGTGGCTCCCTCTACCTAAACACCCTCTTCCCCCTGTGTGCATCATATTTATCCTCCAAGGCCCAAATCAAATATTATCTTAGGAAGCTAATAACTGATTGGTCATTCACTATACCAGGTACTGCTTTAAGTGCACTAAGTATATTGATTTATTTAATTCTCATAACAACTCTATGAGGCAAGTACTATTATTATCCCTGTTTTAATAATGAGGAAACTAAGTAACAGAGAGGCCAAGAATCTTGCCCCTGATCGCTCAGCTGGCAAACACTGGAGCTGGGATTCACACTGAGGCAGTTTGGCTCAAGAGTCTGTATCTCAGCCACTTTCATACGTTCACCTGCCACATGAAGCCTTTTCCCAGTTATCCTAGTTAGAATGAATTTACTGAGAAAGCATCACTGAGCGTTTATGTTGTACTAGGTTCTAGTCTGGCAAACCGTGATACCAAAATGAATAAGACTCAGTGTCCCAGCCATGGAGGGGCTCAGTCTACTCATTTGTACCCTGACCTGAGTCTTGACATACCCAGGTTGCACACCCCTTAGAGTACTGCCCATATCATGGTGATTTGCCTACACATGTCCACCATGAGACTAGACAAGGACCACATCACCCCCATGTCTTTATTCTTAGTACCCTGAATGATGTTTTGGTACTGTAGGTAAAGAGCCACATACTTTGGAATCCCAGTCTTTAATAAAAAGGTCAAGAAGAAATTTTTGTATAGACTTCCTCCAAAGAACACATGGAATATATAACTTATAGCACAGAAAACTTTAAGTTTATAATGTAAATGACAGTTTCTACTTCCAGCTTTTTATGAATTAGAGCAGGTGTTATGTGAAGTGTTGCCTACGGTTATTGTAATCATTACCAAATAACTACAAATGATATAGTATCCTTCTCTTCTATCCTTTTCCTACAAACTCAAGCAGTGAGTTAAAACAACAACTCTAGGAGTACATACACAAAATCTGTTATGTGAAAACAATACTGCAGTTATAAATGAGAACAATAAATCAGGCCAAAAAGCTTCTTGTTCCTAAAAAGAAACTAAAAATCTTGGTTTCTTCATTATATTATTCATTATATATTGCTAAACTTCAATATATAGTATTAATAAATATATTAACACACTTCAATATATAATTCAAATTCAATAATGTAATAATTCAAATACTTCAACATAGACTAATGATGACAAATATCTACCCATTCAGTCTCTGAAAAGCTAAGTTTAAATGGGTAATTTTCCCTGAGATTGAAAGGCAAAAGGGACAGGAAATCCAAGTGAGGTCTTTGATTCGGACTTGCATTGCAACTGATCACAAGCGGGGCAGAGTGGGCGTGGGGATTGGATCCCAGCCACTAACCCCACGGCTGCTACTGCTGAACACTGGAAGGAGGATCTGTAACAGAAAAAATGTCCCAGAAGTCTCTGCCATGCACCAGTCAGCCCAGTGTCTCTGAAAGAGGGCCCCAGGCTCTATGACCTTTCACAGAGAAATTACGAATCACTTCTTTACCTCTCACAGCCATTTGGGACATCACAACTTGGGGCAGAGGAACAAGCAACAAAGGAAAAAAGCCACCTATTCTAAATGTATTTATTTTTAAAGAATAGGAGGAAGA